GTTACCCATGTGGGTACGGGTGTTTAGCACAAGGGGGGCTTCAACAGCATGGGGAAACCCGACAGCCTCCCCTTGTCCCACAGCCTTTCAGGAGGCCCTGCAGGCTTGGTGTTAGCAACAAGAGTCACTGTCCCCAGGACGTGAAACAAATGCACGTGTGCACATATCACGATCCCTGCCACCAGGGTTGGCCTTGGTGCTACCCCTGCCCCGAGATCCTGGCATGTGTCTTCAGTTGTACCCAGGGCCTTCTTCCTGGTGTGCAGCCAGCACGGCCTCCCTGTGTCCCCACACCGTCCGTCCCTCTCATGCCCTCTGGCAGAAGCCATTGCCCCTCGCCTCCCCCTGACCACCCCCAGCCCCCATGGCCCAGCCTTGCCTTCTGTGTCTTTGCCTATCTCGTGTCCACGGGGTCCTCCAGCATCTGCCCCCTGTGTGTGACTTGGGTCATTGAGCATCCAGCCTGCAAGGGGTCAGGCCTTCACTCCTGTGCACGACACTGCACTGGTTCACATGTGGACGGACCACGCCTGGTTTGTCCAGCCTCAGGCTGGTGCTTGTAGCCACTGGCCACTTGAAGGTGGAGCCTGAAGGGTTGTCTGGTATCTCACCCTAAGCCTGGATCCCTCGGTCCAGCCCTTCGAGCGCCCTGATGGTCCTCCTCCTCTGCGAGGGGGATGGGCTAGAGCCTGTTGTGCAGCGGAGCCCCCAGAGGGGCAGCCCGCAGTGCAATGGTCTCACCTACAGCCCTGCTGCCCAGTGGTCAGAGGACTCAGCTGCTGACTGACGGGCTCCTGGTTCAAACCACCAGCCTCTTCTCAGGAAAAGGAGGTCGTATCTCTTGTGAAGATGCCAGCCCTGGAGACACCCTGGGGCAGTCCTGTAGGGGCAGTCCTGTAGATCTATCCTGTGGGCTCTGCCCTGTAAGGTCTGTCCTACAGAGACTGTCCTGCCAGGTCTGTCCTGTAGGCTCTGCCCCACACCGCCTGCCCAGCAGGGCCTGCAGGAGCCGAGTTTTAGAGGCAGTGAGCCTGGGCTGTGGCCCAGTGGGCAGCAGTTGCCCACAGGCACTCTGTCCCCCAGCACCCGCCTCCCTCTGCCTCTGTAGCTTCCCTGCTGTTGTTTCCAAACCTGTTCCCCTTTTGTGGAAACATCCCTTGCTTCTGAGAGGCGGCTGCCCACGCAGGGCGGAGTCCCCACTTCCCTCTTGGCCCCCAGGGGCCTTTGCTTCTCGCTTCTCCTGGCGCCGGCCTGGGCGGCTGGGCATGCTGGGGCAGCGCAGGGCAGGCCAACCATCTCTGCGGCCTCTCAGAGGGTAGCACGAGGCAGGGGAGGGACCTCACATCCGGTTGTTGGGACAAG